GCTGTTTCCACACCCCCATGTGTCCGTGCCCAGGTGATTCCACACCCCAGTGAGTCCGTGCCCACACCAACACCCACCTGCACATTCCAACCTGCACGTTCTCCTCTGGCTGCTGGAGCCCCCCCCAAACCCCCCCAAATCTGGGGGCTTCGCAGATCCCCTCCTGTGCCGTTCTCCCATGACCTCACACACCCAGGAGCAGATTCCTGCTATCCCAACAGGATTATTCCCGACGGCATCGAGCCACACACCCCCTTTTCCCCACCCCAAGCTCCACCCTCACACCCACCCCAGAGCAGGGTGTGGGACGCACCAACACACCCCCCCAGCGGCCCCAATCCTAATTAAACCCGCTGCCTGACCCCATAACTCGATCCCATTCCCTGGAGCAAGGTCAGGGCGCGGAGCCGTGCCGGGCGCCGGGCCTGGAGCGCTGATCCCACTGTGATAAGGGATGTCCGGGGCCGTCCCGGGTCAGCTCCCGCTCTGCCCTATCGCTCCCATCTCCTTCTCCCGGCTCCCGCTCCGTGTTCCCGGAGCTCCCGGGGCCGGAGGCGCCCGTTCCGCTCGGCCGCGGGGACACGGGGACTAAAGGGGCTTTGAGGTCCCTTCCAACCCAAACCAATTCCATGATCCGTGATTCCTGCGCCCCCTTCCCTCGCTTTTTGGGGCTCCTGACGCTGCTCGCGGGAACGAAGCTGCCGAGCGAGAGAACAGCCACGTTCTGCCCCAGAAAGCCCCCCAACCTGTGGAAAATCCGGAGGTTTTTTCCGTCGGGATGCTCTGCCCCAGCTATATTCAAATCTCCCATTAAAATATGCTTCAGATGGGAATAAAAAAAACCCCTACACTGGGAATTTCTTATCGCCCCCGAGACGAAATCAAATCCAATTATCCCTCCGGTCCGGCGCCCGTTCCCGCTCCGCCGGCCGCCCCTTATCCCTCCTCAGCATCTGCTTTTGATTTTCCCTTCTTTTGATTGTTTTTCCACATTTTTTTTTTTTTAATGCTCTGATTATCTCTCCTCTCGCAACATCTCCCCCTCTCCGCCACTTCCCATCCTTTACCTTCATAATTGGGATTTTTTTTTTTATCCCTCTCCCTTCCCCGCCCCGCTCCCATTTATTTCTCTCTTATTTATTCCTCTCTTATTTATTCAACTCTTTTATTTCACCGACACCTCTGCATTCTGAGGCATAAAGAGGTTTTTTTAATTAGCCCTGAAATCAATTATTACGTTTTTTATTCCACTCTGGAATGGAAGGGAACATGGGGATCCTTTGCACCGTCCTGGGCTGGGTGGAATTTTGCTCCAACTTTAATTTTTAGCTTGATTTTTTCCCTTCCAATTCAATATTTCCTTCAACTTTAATTTTTGCTCTGACCTTAATTTTTCTGCTTTAACCTTGATTTTTTTTTTTGCTTTAACTTTAATTTTCCCTTCAGTTTTAACATTCCCTGCCACATATTCAGTGACTCTATGATTAATTTTTGCTTTATTTTAATATTTCCTTCACCATTCATTTTTGCTTTATTTTAATTTTTCTTTCAACTTCAATTTTTTCTTTATTTTATTTTTTTCCCTTTAATTTCTCCCTTAACTTTTTCTTCAATTTTTGCCTAACTTTAATTTTTCCTTCCTCCTCCTTCACGGCATTTCCCTCTCCCAAATCACTCTAATACTTCCCTAAATCCCATTGCAATGACATGCTGGATGTGAGATCCCATCTAAGCAGCTCCCTTCCTGGGAAGAAGCTGGAAAATTATAGAAATGACATGATTTTGCTCTTTTTGCCTCACTTTTGGTGCAAAATGCTGCTCTCCATCCTGGTGGGACCATCAGTGCCTGGTGCTGCTCACCCCGGGAGCTTCCCAACCTGGAGCTGCCCCTCCCTAGGGATGGGAAAAGCACCTTGTTGGGGTTGCAAAGAAAGTGGATTTTCATGGGATGCTGGAGCCAGGCTTTGCTTTGGGATGGCAGCAGGATCTGGGATCATCTCCCCCAAGGCTCGTTGGCTCTTTGGATTCATTTTCTGATGGTGCTGAGATCCAGAGTGGGAGCAACTGCACAAAGAGCCCTGGGACTGAAGGGAAGGGATGAAGGACGAGCCAGAATTGGGGATTCAGCACCTCAAGTGTGCTGGTGGATGAAAGGCTGGAGATGCTCCGGCCACATGCACTGGCATCCCAAAAAATCCCCGTGCCCTGGGCTGATCCCCCAGCGTGGGCAGCAGGGCAGGGGGGGATTCTGCCCCTCTGCCCCTGTCTCAGCTGAGACCCCCCTGCAGAGCTGCTCCAGCCCTGGGAACAACAGCACAAGGACATGGAGCTGCTGGAGAGAGTCCAGAGGAGGCCCCAGAGCTGCTGCCAGGGCTGGAGCCCCTCTGCTCTGGAGCCAGGCTGGGAGAGCTGGGGGGGTTCCCCTGGAGAAGAGAAGGCTCCAGGGAGAGCTGAGAGCCCCTGGCAGGGCCTGAAGGGGCTCCAGGAGAGCTGGAGAGGGACTGGGGACAAGGGAGGGAGGGACAGGACACAGGGAATGGCTTCCCACTGGAAAAGTGAAGATTTGGGTGGGATATTGGGAAGGAATTGTTGTCTGTGAGGGTGGGGAGGCCCTGTCCCAGGTTGGGCAGAGAAGCTGTGGCTGCCCCTGGATCCCTGGAAGTGTCCAAGGCCAGGTTGGAGCAACTCGGGAGAATGGAAGGTGCCCATGGGAACAAGATGATCCTTAAGTCCCTTCCAACCCAAACCATTCTGGGATTCTATGGAATCTCCACGCCAGCGATTCCCATCCCAGCAAATATTCCCACCCCTCGAACACAGACACAGGGACCGGTTCATGCAGCAACACCCAAACCTCCCCAAACCCCAATTTATTTCTTGTTTTTTGGAGGACAAGCCACAAAACGCTCCCTGAAAACATCTTTTACAGGGGATGGCGGATCCCTACCGGCGATTTCCCACTGCAAAATCCCGGCTGGCAGCGCAGGGATGCCCGGGAATGGAGGGAGGGGCTGCGAAGGGGAAAAGGGAGGGGGGGGGGGGAAAGAGAGGCGGGGGCTGGAGCCGAGACAAATAAAGAGTTCAAATGGGAAACGATTAAAACTAAACTAAAGTAAAATAAATGGAAAGCGGGGGAGATAAGGCCGGGGCGCCCTCTGTGCCTATTTAACATTCATTGGATTGAATAATCAGGCCTCATTATCTCAAATTGCTGCATATTTGCCCTCAAAATGCTAATTTGAAAGTTGGCTGCGAGCGCCGGCTGCCTATTTTGACTAAAATATGATTTTGCGTTGTTTGTAGCTCCGGGGGCATTTCCCTGAACCGAACTGAAAGGGAAATAGGGAGAAAGAAAAAAAAAAAAAAAAAAAAAAAAACCAAAAAAACCACGGGGAAGGGAAAAAAAAAAAATCCCCCGACGTTTATCAAGAGAAGGTTGGGGAGGAGAGAGGGGCCCTGCTTTGCGTAGAAATGGCATTTTTTTTAGGCCTTGCAGTAAAATTAAAGGTGTTATCAGTTGGCTTTTCAGGGATGGACAGTTTATCCTTCATCTCTCGGGAAGGGAAATAGGAAGAATAATTTGCTTTTATTCTGATTGTTTGGTGGAGGGGAGGGGCGGGGAAGGGATGGAGGCTCCTCCCTCCCCTTTCCCATCTCCTTACCCCCCCCTCTGACCTCTTCACCCCCCTCCGAGGGGGGCAAAAATCACAGCCCGGGGCTTCACCCGGCGCATCCCGCACGGAAAACGGGAAAATGTGCTCCGGGTGATCCCCTGGCGGGATTCCGAGCGTCCATCTCTTTATGTTATTACCCTTTCTAAAAGTCAATCAATAGATAATAA